AAAAAAAAAAAAAAAAAAAAAAGGAAAAGGTTTCTAGGGACGCCACAGAACAGTGAAGAACCTGAGGTGTTTCTGAGACAGCCCACAGGGAAGGTAAAGGACTCAAGAACACTGGGTGGCCAGGGGTGGAGGCAGTGCCAGGGCCTAGGAACCTGTCCTAGAGTTCAACTATATGGAAACACTCAAACTCAGGAGCCATACATTTCACTTCTAACTTGCCAGGCAGAGCAGTCAGGGTGGCCTTATTTCCCACACAATTTCCCCTTGGGATAAGTCTTCCTGAATAAGGCAAAGCCACATGGATGATTTTCTAAAACAGGTAACTTTACTTCCAGAAAATTGTCTTATCAAGAATCAAAAAATCTAAACCTTAGAGTAAATGAAGGAAAGCCCTAGAAGATAGACTAGGAGTTAGAAAGCTCTTATGCGGAATCAATCGCCCTCTCTTTGGAGGAGTAAACTGGAGAACGCGGGGTGTGAAGGCCTGACTTGGAGCATCTCCACTGTCATGGTCAAAGCCCATTGTGCTCCTACTGGGAGATTTCGGACTTGCTTTCAAATTCAACTTTTCATCCAGAGGAAACAAAAACTTCCAAGGTTACAAAGTATGTGTGTATATATATATATATATATAATATATACATATGCTTTGCTGTTAAAATCAGGGATTCCAAGTGACACCCTTTTCTTTTGCTTTTGCAACATCCATTAATTTCACTATTAACTAATACTGGTACATCAGTTTAGGGAGGAAAAAAAAAGGTACTACTGTGACATTTCAAAAATAAGGAATACCTAAACACAGCTGACTTCATATTGGGGTCTCCTTTGCCAACAAAACAAAAACAAAAACAACAAACCCTTGTGTGGACATGCCTAAGAGCTTTTTAAAATGTTTGGAGGAAACATTTTCAAGTTCAGCAAATGACTGCTAAAATTTTCATTTACAAAAGGAATTCCATTTCCTTCTAACATTTATTTTTAAAGTTTAAACATCCTTTTACAACAAAGTAATCCTAAACCCGTGGACTGGAAGGGTTATCGGTTGGCACCCAGTTTCTGCTCTGAGCTCCTAGAGGAGGAATTTTACCCAAGATGGGAGGAACCTTCCAATGTTTTTTCCAGCTGACCCAGCGCACCGGACAGTGTGTTGAGTTCGTGCTTTAGACATTTTGTGCAGGAATACTGCATGTTATTCCTCGGACAACTGATTACACATCAGACCACCACTGCATGGCAGGTCAAACTGTGACTACATTAAAGGAAGAAAACAAGTGGCCTGGCAAACTGCAGCTTACATGCTCAAGTGCGGGTGGCCATCACTTCTCCTGAGGACGCAGAGGGCAACAGGCTCCTTTGGAAGGGGCTAGGCTGGTGTGTGAGAAGACTTCCCCTAACAAAGTACCTCAGGGACCAACAGTGGGCCAGGGGACATGGAACGTCACCGTGTTTTTGTCTTTTAACAGAAGAACTGATGCTTGTAAACACATTAGAAGGACAGGGTTAGGTCCCGCAAGTCACTGCTGCTGCTTTTGTGGTCGATGTTTCTTTTTAACTTGTATGTGTCGGGTGAGGGGGCACTGAGGGCGGGAGGTGTTCTCTCCAACATGACTGGGCGTGTAACACGTTTTACATCAACTTTTCACGGTCAGGCATGTGCTTTCGAACAAAGAGCAGTGGAGACAGGAGAGATCAGGGTTTGACACAGTTTACAGATACATTTTGTGCTTAGACAGTACTTTACAAATGACTTGCTCAATTTAAATGTCTATCACTGTAAGAAACATCCGAGTAAAATAAGGAAAGTGGACCTGCTTGAAACAGTCTTTTTGGGGAGGACAAGGGATGTGACCTTAACTTGAATAGAAGTAGAAACCAAATCAGTAAGCTTGTCTCCTACACTTGAAGTAGCCACTTTGACATGAAGGCTGGAGACAAAGCAATGGGTGGATCTGGAAAGAGGGGCAGCAAGGGTCTGAAAACACACTGGGCCTTTTCCATGATTTTTGTCATGTTACAGTAACACTTTTTTTTTTTTAAAGAAAACTGTGTACATCAAATTTTAAAAATTAAACACTGAAAGGATGTGCAAGTCTAAAAGGGCTCAATAGGGTTAGAATCCTGATTTGAACATAATAAATCCACTCTCAAGCATCACTTTGGTCTAAAGGCGAGGAGGAAGCAGGCAGGAAAGGGACTAAAAGAGGGAGATAATTGAATTACTCAATAAAAGAGGCTACTTACCATCCCAACCCATTGTAAGACATACACTTCTGACATAAGAGAACTCCTTAGAGGTCGGATAAAGCTCGTAAGCACCTCTGAGTAAGGCACCTGCCCCAGAGGGCCTGGAAACCCACCGTGGGCTTAGCGAACAGACCTCCGCTACTCTGTTTATTTCCTTCAACTGTAGTCTGGCTGCGAAGGGCTGCGATTCCCAGGACGATACAGTTAATTAGAACAAAACAGAAAAAAAAAAAAAAAAAAAAAAAAAGTAAAAAGCTCACCAAACTGCTGCACCTGTGTCTTTGAATGTGGGTGCCATTTCTTTTAAAAGGCAAAGGAGGGTCTGTGAAGGAGAAAGGGAAAACAGGACTTGGGAGCGGGATAAAGGGCTGAGACCCTTGTCTGGAGGGGCACTCTGCGATTCCCCAGGCGGCTGCGAGCCATCTGTCCAGCCAATTCTCCACCCTACCCCACCCCCCACTGCCTGCGAGACTGGCTTTCCTGCCCACGGAAACCCACCTTTCTTGTTCAGACCTACTCTCTCCAGCCCCCAGGAGTCAGCAAACCCTTACCCCACACCCTTAGGCTCCAGCAGGGCCAAAAGGGCCCCAAACCTCATCCTGAAAACGCGCGGGGCTGCCCCATTATCACCCGCCAGAGAAGGGCGTGGGGGAACCCACTTCGCACTTAATAAAGGACAAGGGGCGCCACAGTTCACGTCCTGCCACAGTACAAGGAGACCTCCTTTGCTCCCGAAGGAGCAATCGCACCCCATTTTACCCTAAGAGGGGAGATGCCCAGGGGAAAGCGGTGGCCAACTTCCTCTCCCATCCACAGCAGGGAAAGCAACCTTCACCCACCCCGCAAAAACAAATAAAACAATAAAAAGGCTTAGGACTAAGGACCCTCCACCACTGTCACCTACCTACCAAAAGAGAGGGGGACGCTGAGAAAAAAAACCAGGGCTTCCAAAAAAGGTCAAGAGCTTTCATCAAAAGAGCTGGAGAGGCACCCCTTCCCTGCCTGCCTTCTAGAGGAGTAACTAGAAAATACCTCCCGCCAAAAAAATGTGCACAAGAGGACCCCATCCTGAGGAGCCCTCCACAGAAGCTTGGAGCGAAGGCTGATCCGAAACCCCCAACTCTCTGCCTGCGTTAAGATTCGGGTACCTATCCAAAGTGGGCAGGGAATATAACCTCCCCCAGGAGAAAGGATACTGTCAGGGACTGGGAAGACCCCCAACTCCGAACCCCTAAGAGAGGAGCTGTAAGCTGGCGATCCCCCTAAAACAAGAGAATCCGGGGGCCCCTCCCCCAAGAGCCTTCCCCGAAGCCAGGCGACAGGGCCGCTGACGGCCGGCTCCGGGCGCAGGGGCGGCCGAGGAGCCTGACGCGGGCCTCGGCAAGCCCACCCCGTCGGCGGCCCGTG